TTAAGGGTGCAGGTGGGCTAGTTTGGGGCGTGGGGGGGAAACAGATATCAGTGGGGGGTTGGGAACATCATAACATCATCAATTACAGCTGTTTTCAAAAATAGTTTTATCTCTATTATTTAAATTATAGTTAAAAAAAAAGTATGTGGGGGGATGCTCAATGGGGACAGTATGGAGTCCATTCCCCCCACATACTTTTCTACTATAAATAATAGAGATAAAACTATATTACATACTAGTATGGAGGCAGGAGGTACACAGGTGTCATAGATACTACGGTCAGTATATCGCTCCCCTTCTCCATCACTTCTACGGTACTGTATCCTACAGTGATGGAGAAGAAGGGGAGTGATATACTAATGGTGTCACACACACAGCACAGTACCTGCAGGCTGCAGCTCTCCACGATCCCTGTAGGTTTCTGTCGGATCCCGTTGTGATTCCCGCCATGGAGCCACCTCGGGACCCCCTTTAGTCTCCTCACGGCCACACCTCTGTTGCCCCGCTGCATCTTTGCCAGGCTGCCTGCTGGGTAATGCAGTCCTCTGGCCGGTTGCAGCTCTCCCACTCCTCTGGTCCCATGAAGATCGCCGCGGGCGGCGCAGTGGCCGCTCACACTTTCTAATCTCCGGGCCTCGCTCGCCTCGCCCTCCAAGAAGCTACTCGTCCGTCCCCGCCGTCCTCTCGTCACAGACAAGAGGACAAGTGCATTTTTCAAGCCCTGATTATGGCATTTACTTTTTTAGGCCATTACCTACCAGGCTTTATAAGTATAAAAAAGCCTATAACTTTACTGGGTTTTTTTTCCAACTTGTTTTCTTAACTTGCTTTCATTAATGTCTATCTCTAAGGCTCCATTCACACCTAGGCGACAGCGTTTTCGTGCGTATAAACACACTGGGGTTTTTTTCTGCACGGTTTTGAACGCGTGCATTAAGTTGCATGTTTTTTTAGCAGATTGTGGCACATTGATGGGCGACTGCATGTAAAACTTGTGCACAAATGTGCAAAAATTATTTCACTAAGTGTTTCTATGCGTTTCCTATTGAGCGGGAACAAAACACACTGTAATCTGGCCAAACGTAGCTCAATGTTTTTTCTGCTTTTGACAAAACTCACAGGAGTGAATAGAAATGAATGGGATTCCTTGAATTGAGCATTTTGTCACGCTTAGCCAGGAGCGACAAAACACCTACGTGTGAACGTGTCCTATTTTTGTTGTTCAACCCGTGGGACGAATGAACAGATTGCTCCATCAACGCTTACGAGCTATTGGCCACTGTCAAAATACCCAAACAGAGCTGCCAATTTTCAAACCTGCTTCTTCGATCAGCTGATCAAGGGATGCCAGGCCAAAGGGTGCCAACAGCGGCACCCACTGTGAATTTTGGGCCAGTTCATCAGGAACTGGCAAAAATGTGTACAATGTGTGCCCTACTTTAGGCTAACCATTTTTTCATTTATTATAGAGTGTGGAAGAGCTAGAACTTCTTTCAGGTTTTTCAGGTTCTCATTCCTGGTAACTATTGACAACGGAACTAAAATTGAGACATGTGCAGGATGAATAAGCAACCAGTGGTTAGCAGGAATAGAGTCATTATTAGAAAGACAAAACTTATTACAGGCCCAAAGCTTACAGGTGTATCCTGAGAAGTGGAACGTTCAGTTTAGACCTGCTGAATGTTTTGGGAGAGTTGCAAGCCTGCATATTCCATGGAGCACCTAGTATAGGGGATAAGGGGATTTTCAGTGTTTTGCAGAGTTCTGTGTTCTGTTCTTATTTTAGTTTTTGTTCTATGTTGTAAAGTTCTACCAATTTTTTGTTTGTTCGTGCTCTCGTTTTTCGTGGGCACTTAAGAATAACGCTTTGGTATTTTCAAGTGACAAGGCATGTTTATCAAGCCTTACAGGTTCAAACTTGTTAATTGTAAGAGCCAAATGAGCTTTTGAAATACAAATCATGTGTGAGTTTTTTCTGATATGTGCAGTATCTGCTTTATAAGTGTTCAGGCCAGATTAATTTTTCTGATGCAATCCGTGCCGGCTAGGTTTTCAGCTGTGAAAAATGCTATTGTCTGTCGAACAGATGTGTGCTATACTCTATAATTTTAGTATGTTCTATATAACCGATCGCTACCCAGTATGTCCCCAAACTATCTTCTCACACTAGATATGGGGAGCAGTAATTACATTTTAACTAATGTTTAATGAAAAGTTTTTTTTTTTATCCTCTCACTGTTTAGCATCACCTTAGGTCACCTTACAACAGTGAGATAATCACCCAACAAGACAGAATTATAGACACAATGGTCTATTTCTTTGGGTGGTGGGGGAATACGGCAATCATGTTTGTCCCCAAAACATAATACTACACTTTAAAGTGACATTAAACCCTCAGATTTTTTAACATAAACCAATACTGTAATGTGTGCCTTACTGTAATCCATGGTTGTTTCCCTTCTCTTTGCTGCTCTGCCTTTTAAATCCTCATGTCTTCTCATGCTTGGGGAGAACTTCCCTTTGCAGCTGAGTGCCTCTTCCTGTAGTAGTGGCTCAGGTTGCAAACGTACACACAGACACCATGTATCCATTTCAGAGACAAGGCAGTCTGCTGCAAAACAGAAGTTCTGCCCAGCATGAGAACAGATACAGATTTAAAAGGAAGAGCAGCAAAGAGAAGGGAAACTACCATGGATTACAGTAAGGCACACATTACAGTATTGTTTTATGTTAAAAAATCTGAGGGTTTAATGTCACTTTAAGT